AATACAAGCCAGCCAGAGACTGAATGAGCACATGATCCCGGCAATGAGTATGTACAAGAAGATCGGGACTGTAAACCGATTTAGCTTCTCGGCTAATGATGAAAAGCCCGGCATAACGGACTCGAGGACATGGAGTGTGTCCGCGGGTAGTAGAGAGGACAAGTCCAGGGGAAGATCTCGACAAGTCGTATCATTGTCTAAGTTGACACAGTAGCTCTGAGTGCCAATGGTGATGTTCCGTGGTAGAGCGATGTTGGTCAGGTTTTTTGCTTTGTCAATGATATTACCGGCCGTGTTTTGAACCTCATCAATCATGTTGCTTGTGGCCGTTTGTGCGCTGTCAATGGCGCTAAGCACTTTGCTCTGGATCTCGTTGGAGTTGGGTACCACCGGTATGGGTATGTCGATGTCTTGGGGGTCGAGGCTAGGGAGGCCAGGGTGTGGGACATTTATATCGCGAAATGTGTTACTTCTTCGATGTTTTGGCACCAACGGAAGCTCTGGCTTATTGAACTGTGTTTTAGAGTCAGTGCTGGGCACCGCGTCAGCCAAAACATGTCTTACCTTGATGATTGCGATGCCCTCGCGAAGCACTCTCTTATTTGTAGCAGCGTATAGCGATACTAGAAGACAAGCCAAGGCGGCAGCACCCAGGCCAACAGGCATGAGGCGCTTCCAGGGATACACGCGGGTCTTCATGGCTAATGCGAGTTGAAAGCTGGGAACTTAAGTCCTGGGAACAGAGCAGGTGTGTCAAGATCAATACATGGCCCAGTATCGATTGGGCCGAGAGTTTGATTATATATTGAGGCCACAGCCCAAAATTGGGTTTGTATCTTAAACGCCCTGGAAAAGACATATATCGAGCATGGGGACCTAGAGCAGCATGCATCTTCGAATCGGGATGCGTACGTAAGTCCTTCCTGTGACTAAAGAGAGGGGGTCAGGATTCCGGCCTTTCACTACGAAAGCGAGGCTGCCAAGAACTTACTGAGCTTCCTGCGCGCCCTGTAGCTCTCATCACTGCAAGTGTTAAGCAACTCTATTCGACGGATCGAAGCAGCAGCCTTGTCCGTCCCAGTTCGACCTGTCTCCGGGACTCGCGCCACTCGCGCCTTCTAGGTCCGCTGGCCATGCCTGTATAGTGTATGTCTCCTGAGAGCGATCAGGCATGTCGTTCACGATCCGCTCTAGGCTGTTGCACCATCCTTGCAGGAGATACACCATAGATATATCGCTCAGTAAGATTATGACCTAACCACGGCTCACGGCGAAAGCGCTCATTGAGGAGGCTCATACTAGTCCTGTCATGTAGATCTTATCCCTCGACCAATATGGCCCAGAGCTCCCACCAAGATAGTATCGCTAGACACGAAGTCGATATACTTCAAGAGAGGACTGCAAAGTTCCTAGGAAAGGCAAGAGTCTTGCTTGATTCTCTACAGTTTCCGAAACAAGTGTTGGTCGATCTACAACGACACAATGTCGACCGGCTGAAGCGGGTGTTTGAGCTAGAAGGCTGCCGACGTCTAGAACCTGATCGTCATATTCCAGCACTTATCGACGCAAAGGACCTTCAAAGTGCACTTGAATACACCGCAACCGACCATGTCACATCAGAAACTCTGCTCGATAATCCAGACGCACTACCTCCCCTCTTGAAACTGCCATCGCATCTCTCCATAGAATGCTTGCGAGGAAAGCATCGTGTTACCGCAGCCAAAGAGACGTCAGTGCTAGAAGCGACTGATAGGTGGTGGATCGTTGACCTGTACTCTGCTGGTAGGTTCATGTCGCTGCCAGCCGTAAGAGGACTCACTTGTATAGATCTAGGCGCGGAAGGCCAACGTGAGTTGGTCGAACAGTATTGCAACTCGCATAACTTCACAGACGGCTCGGTTTACATCAGGATTCTACGCTACCGAGCTAGTCGACAGGAGCTCGCCGAGAAGCAGTGGTGGGCACGATTGACGAAGAGCAAAAGAAACATACTGAAACGCTTCCTCCGACACCCGAAACTGGCGAGTGGCTTTGCAAAGTTATGCAAATTCGAAGCTCTACTAGTCCACGGATTCAGGATAGGAACCCTTTTAGAGATCATGAGCAGTAGGCTAGATGAGGTGAGCACTCGGCTATGATCCATGGAATAAACTCACACCAGTAGGAAATATTGTGCTATCTGAACCACATATCCGCTATATGGTCGGCTATCATAGGTGGAGATTCAGAGCATAGGCACGCATTGGACAGTCAAACTGTGGCAAGCCTCCAGTCAAAAGCACCTGGCGTTTATTCTAGCGAATACTCAGCTTTGAGGCAGGATATCGAGCAAGGCACGATATTCTCCCTATTGAAGCGGAGTAAAAATCAAGCCAAGATCTTGCAGAACCTTATCACGATAATGTACCCAATCCCCACGCTCGTTACGCTTCGAAAAGATCTCAGGTACCTTGATGCCTGTGCTCGTGCGGTCAGACAAGCAGTCCTAGGACCAAAGACTCAGCTACAATCGAGTTTCTCAGAAGCAGTTCGGAAGTGCTTTACCAATGTCAATCAAAAAGACGGCTACTTCTGTCTTCAACTGAGAGATTCGAGTCTGATATACTGTAAATCTTCAGAGAGCTATGGCCCGTTCGAGACCGGCTACCGCCAGCTTCATCTATACGCGATGCGTAATATTCTGCACCTGAACTCGGGCCTTCCTAGACAGCACAGGAGGTGTGCTAAACAAAGACGCGAGCAAGACCCATTTGCGTGGGTAGCGTTTGGCGAGCTAGCTTTCCAGCTCGGATTCGACTCCGAGGAGATCCAGAGGCTGCGAGCGCGGAACTTCCAGCGCGAACTGGTCGCTGCTATGCTTCCCAGTAGTCAATACGAAAATCTGGAGTCCGTCATTGATGACATCTTGCAGCGACTGAGGTCAGCGAAACGGAAAGCACCCTCTCCTGTTGAAGAGATATCAACTAATGCACATGACTCGGTCGAAGATCCAACTTTTCGCTGTGGCTGGATCACAGAGACCGATTATGAAGCCACTCGGCAACATCTTTACTTGAACATACTGGCTAGCGATGTTCCTGCACCCCAGGGTGCTATTTCCAGTCTCCAGGTTCGGAAACGAGTCTACGAGTTGTTTTTTGGTACGCTCGACGTAGCACCTTGCTTCAGCCACGAGGCACAGGACGATAGCGCAATTGGCGCAGTAAGCATAGCACAGTCAGTGTACGACCCGAATAAGCGACGTAAGCTGTCTTCGGGCCTTGCTCAATCTGCTTCGTTGCCAGATTCCCAAGTTCCCCCAGCCCCAGAGCTTGTCGGGGGACAACGAGATACCATTTCTCAATCCATAGACCTGGCGGTACGTAACGACCGAGAATCCACGCTAGATCCAAAAAGCCGGTCAATCGAGAATGGCGCCCAGCAAGGCAGATTCCTACCACAAAAGGCCCATGCGACCAGCCAGCGAACAGTAGAGGTGTGTGTGTTCAATGACTCAAAATGGAATCGAAAGCGGACAGAACTAGGCAGATCAGAATTAGAAGCTTTCGTGACGACTCTCCTTGACTCGGATGGAGATGTGCATCTCTACGATGCGGATGGCTATGGCCTGACTGTTGGAAACTGCTTTGACAGCGCGAGCCGCCATTCTGACAAGACTGTGTATGTAGCGTCCAGAAATCTGGACCGCCATCTCTTGCCCCGCTACCATGTGATTGACGAGAATGAGGAGCTGTGAGGGCCTGCGAGAATGCGATTTACAACCAAACGAAAAGAAGGAATACACGCGGTGTCAGGGCGTTTTAAAGTTTTTTTTATTTTCACCATAGTTCCTTTAAAAATCTAGCTTTTCATGCATGACGTAGAGCCCTCTACGTCCCTCCTGCACATCGCACTCAGCTTCGTATGGTGCATATAAGCAGACGTTGAATATATGTCTCTTCTCTTTGTCATCGAGATCTAGAAGCTCATTGAGATAGGTATCAACCAATTCTCTTTGACCTACGACGCGTTAACTTTCGTTTTCCTTTCCGAATTTGAGTTTACCTTTGTCTTCTAGAAACCATATAAGAGTGAGGCGTCTAATCCGAGCTGTCAATCGATTGTTGGCGTAGAGTAGACTTTTAATGGTTAGGAGATGTGCAGCAATCCCAATTCCTTGCGCAAAGAATATGGCTTTATCGTAATTCCCGAGGTCATAAGGACTGCCATATGGCCCATCAAAGTTACTTGCGTATTCGTTTCCGTTGGCCTACATAAGTCCGTCATGGGCATAATTTGCGTGTCGTCGTATTCTTAAAGATGACTTCGGAGGTATCCTTCTTTTATATTATTACTTTCGTTTATTTGCTTAAACAGCTTAAGATACAGGCGAGCAACCATATAAATGCAATCTTTGCGAGGGGGCCTTCTCGCGAAGTGATGTCCTTAAGCGTCATTTTCAGAAATGCTCGAAAAGGAACAGGCCGTCCGGGACGTCTGGTGTACGAGACCATCCGTTTCCAGGGTACGCTACTCCCCAATAGTCTTCCCAAGTACATCAATCTTATGGTATTTATAGTCTGAATAAGAAATCGGGCAGTCTCGAGCTTTACAACGTGGCAGTAAAGAGCGAGAGCTCCATGGCCGCTCCGTGCAACCGGAACCAACCGCCGCAATACAACACCCATGGATCCTCAAATTACAATTCTGCGCCGTCAGGCCTCAAGACGGAATCGAACCAATCGCATGGTTGAACTTTTTCCTGCTACCCTCTGCTCCATTTGCTGCCCATCAATTCACATGCTTAGCTGTGCTGTATAATTCGGACCAGAATAGCTTGCGAACTATCTGCAATTGTGACAGCAAGACGTCTTCCAAACCATAGTTGCGTGTGGTCGTACTGCGGGGAACGTTGCAGCTGGAAATCGTGGGAAGAATGTTCCTTGATTGATTGCTCCTCCTTTCATGGAGAAGTCGGCTTCTTTTATAAACATGATCTCAGGCATCAAGGCCTCAATCCAACTCTCAAGTCTTATCCGCCGATATGCAGTTATCAGCTTGCTTACATAATATAATGTGGTCGAAGATTGATCGGCCAACATCCTCATGCCTTATATTTGGGCTGATATTCTGACAGATCTTTATCATATCTGCTACCAATTCCTATGACCCGGGTCGGTGCTCCAGCCCAAGCTCCAAACATATTTCCGCCGCCCTTAATGAGTCGCGAGTCTCTAGACGCTAGGCACTAATGCATACGTTATCTTGTATCCTCAACTTGTAATGACATAGCTGGGATATAAAATTATCACGATATATAGTTCGTCCACAACAGTGGCATAATGTGAGACTTAATATAATACTCTGTTTGGGGAGATATCTTCTTAATACAGGCACGTGAATTCTAGACGCGCGTTCTTCCGCACCAAGCCCAGCCAACTCGGCATCTCCGCCTGCATCAGGTGGCCAATGGAATCTCATGGGATCAAAACTACGGCTGAGTTGCAGGCATTCGACCCCTTAGTCTCGCCCTAGATCCGTATATCCATAGTTACATGGAAAAGCTTGGCAGCCTGTGCACGCCCATGTCACCAACACGCGTTTTTATATGTAGATGACATTTTACGGCATTGTCGCCGAACACTTGCATGTCTATTAAAATACCTATTATATATTAGTATTATACGATATTAGCCATATGTTGGTGTTTTTTTCGACTGTTTTACGCCTCCTATCATGCCTCCTAAGTCGCGTAAAGGTGTCCGATTCGAGTAGGATGACTCGATAGAACCTCTACCACCACCTCCTGGGCCACGGCCACGTATATCTACGTCGAAGGCGCTCTAGAATAGTATAGAGAAGGCATTAAGGGCTACGAAGATAGCGACGAGGCGTAAAAAAGGACCGAATCTTGAAGCTACTGCTTCAAGGGTGGAGCACACTGCTTATATATGACTGCTGCACACATGTATAATCAACTGGCAGGCCACGTGCCTGACAGTAAGACACCTCCTTAGACACGAGTCGTGGAAACCTTTAGTAGTCTAGCATAACCAGGACGTCACTAGGTAGATATAGTACTATCCGCTCTAGAGTGCCTAAAACGGACATATATATAGAGTCCTTTATCTAATAGTAAATAAAACTATTAGCCGTAATAAGCTCCACAGGCGCTATACGTAGGTCCTCGATTAAGAGTACCAATCTTAGTTAGAGTCTGTCCTTTTGGTGCTCTAGCTCGACGCCTCCATCTAATTTTCTCATTAAATATACTCCTAAATACACTCTAAGAAACACCATACCATCCCTATCTAAATACTAGTTATGCTAGTTATAGTAAACGCCTAGAGCGAGGACGCTACCTCGCTTACCTTAAGTTACTCCTTATACTTACGAAGATATAGACGTGTATCTAGTCAGATACTAAGTAGAACACCTGCTGTCTTCGCGGCTTTATAATAAGCAGTTCCAGGCTGAGTCATCTCCTTAATATAGCGGTAAGTATAGTAGTTATTATCTACGTATAGTCTTAATTCGCGTATCCCAGCCCTCGTCTTATTATAAGTCTCTATCTCTTTACGCCATTCAAGAGCGGATAGTACTATATCTACCTAGTGACGTCCTGGTTATGCTAGACTACTAAAGGTTTCCACGACTCGTGTCTAAGGAGGTGTCTTACTGTCAGGCACGTGGCCTGCCAGTTGATTATACATGTGTGCAGCAGTCATATATAAGCAGTGTGCTCCACCCTTGAAGCAGTAGCTTCAAGATTCGGTCCTTTTTTACGCCTCGTCGCTATCTTCGTAGCCCTTAATGCCTTCTCTATACTATTCTAGAGCGCCTTCGACGTAGATATACGTGGCCGTGGCCCAGGAGGTGGTGGTAGAGGTTCTATCGAGTCATCCTACCCGAATCGGACACCTTTACGCGACTTTATTCGGCCTTTCATTCCTCGCACGATTCATGGTCAGAGCGGCAGACGTCCAGGTCCCTGCAAAGATTGTGGCTGCGGCGCAGTAACAGACCGACGGCTTATGATCATCCGTATGAAAGTCATGATAAGGAGGTTAGTCATAATAGTTCCCGTGCGAGTGATGACCATGTGAGCGATGGATCCATACGACCATCCGGATTCATGGATGGATCCGTCTGTAGCTTTTTCTCTGATTCTTAAAAACGTATATTTTCTTTAATCCCTACGCCCAGGGCTGCAAAAGTCGTGGATCGCATCTCGCCACGGTTCCGATTCCCGTTTGAAGGCTATCTATATATTTAGACTGCATCCTCTCATAAGTAAATCAGTTACAGAGATCTGCGACAATTATTGTTACATGCCTGAGAGAATGTTGCTAAATTTACCGTCAGAGCTCATCCTTGACTTGCTAAACCACGTAGGTTCTTTCTAGAGTCGCGGACGTAGTCTAATACTAGTAGCTCACAATCAATAACCTCTGCGAAGTAAGACTTGTCTGCAGGAGGATGGACGATGAAGTCAAAAGGATTGTACATTTCCGAGTACAGTTAGACTTGGCCACTCCTCTACACGCAATAGAGACTTTGTCACTATCCCGATTCGTTCGTCAAACACTCTGTATTCACCGGGACACAGATCTTATCTCTTGGGACCACGCTACATCTTACGTACAAAGATGTGTCCCGAACTCGATCGAAGCTGTCTACATTGATTCTTCGATTCCCACAGTCGACGAGGTATTTCTGCGGAATGTACTGAACAACCATCGGACTATTCAGCACATTGATGTCAGGAGACGACTACGTAGTTCGAGTGCTTGGTTACAAGCTATCTTGCCGCCAAGTGTCTCGCTCTTTTATGGTACTAGGCAAGACATCGATGCCCGACTTACAATGTTTTACTGAGTTGCATAGAGTTGTTAACCAGCTCAAATCCATCCAGATCATGCGCTGCACTGGCGTTGCGCGATTCCTGAGCCAGATACCACCTGCTACGCGCATGGACGAGTTCGAATGTTGTTTGCATTACAGTGATACTGCATCAACTATAAGTGCTATTGAAGGATTTCTTGAGAGAGTTCGTGGTCTTCATAAACTAGGGCTCAATTATCAGGAGTCTACTAATCGAGTGAGACCGAACTACATACGGCAACATTCGAAGAGTCTTAGACACTTCGAACTTACATCTAACCAGCACCTAAATTTTTTATGCAGCGAAGCATGGTCCGTGGTGTACGAGTGTCAGTCTCTGGAGTATTTAGATCTGAGTATTGCCAACCTTGGACCGGAGAGCGCGCAGTTTGGGATTGAGTGGGTACACTTGCTCTTTTGGGGGCTTGTAAGTCAAACTATGGTAGACATGTGTTGCAACGAAGTTAAAAATACATCAGTGGCTCCATCTCCTGCGATACCCAAAACACCCTACGCTTCGAAGCTTCCGTCTGACTGGCGCATGCGCGTTTTATGGCCACATATCCCACAAGGATATCGAAGAATCACTTGGAAAAGCTCGGCGTTTCTTACAAATGCGGCTTCCATTAAGGATGCTATGCATTAATCCAGCATATACAGATGCAGAGATTGAGAAATTGTATGGGTACGGCAGCCCTACACTTGTGCCGCGTGTAGTGTTGGAAGATGGCGAGGAGCCGGATGGGGAAAGGTTCACCTGGATACAAGAAGACCCGGAGATCCGTCGTTTTCCTAGAACCTGAGTCACTAGGATTCTTTCTCGTGCTATCATCAACGACATCATCCAGTCAATGTATGTTTCAGTTGGACTCATCACTCCGGGGATTTTCCTGCACGCCATGTTCATTCGGAGAACGGTCACTATCTTCAGTCGATCTGACAGCCTCAATCCTAAAACAGCAACCCCTAAGACAAGCACTCCATCTCTGCAACGCTATGTCCGTCACATCCGCTTTTGATATCACACTGTACTCTTTTAGCCTGTAGGGGCTGGCTGCACCATTGATACAAATATGCAAGGTGCTTCCACCTACCGTTCGCTAGCCAATCGGCTCTCATACACACCATGAGGAGGTTGAGAACATGCAGCCGCGACTTCCAGTCCCATAGTTGATGCCAGTGCCACGTTTTGTGGAGGTTAGCATGCGACAATTTTACGACCGCTTTTCAAGCCCCCAAACACTTAACATTCAAAGCGCACAACTATCAGAGTTCCAGGTCTCTGTTAGCTATATTGTGAATCAGACACTACTTCAGCTGTATTCCACTTCGTTGCTCCCTCAACTCTCAGGTACCGCTACTATAATCAGAATCCAGGCGCCCATATTGCTCTTGGACCAATCAGACAGACAGATCAAGCAGCCAAAACGATTGGGCTCAGCCACTCCACAACCGTCTTATCACTCACACTAGCCTTATAAACATAAAAGCATCCCAGCCTACATAGCAGACATCACTGATAACTCTGGCGCTCTATTTTTGCCTTATCAAGATCACATCAAGATCACATAACCTGCCATGCAAGAACTTTCCGCACAACGCGCAGGCTATCCTATTCACGCACCGGCTCGCAGACCCATATCTTACTAGGCAGGAGAGTCAAGAGCTTGCTGCGCTCACCGATCTAAGTGTCCGTCAAGCACAAGTATATTTCGCTAATGCTCGTGCGAGGAAGCTCTGTTGAGGACAAGCGAAAGCATCTGCAGGTTGAAGGTGGTATCTATACGTACGTGAGCAGTCAGTAGCATATCCAACCCGCTTCCACGCATTCGTCGATGAAACCGCTCTACCCCCCAAACCCACTGCTACCTCGATAGCATCACGTATTTGCTTCGTAGCCTAGCAATGCTGCTCATACATTTGTTTCCCAAATTCATGGCGATGCGGACCCCGAATGGCACGTCACGTACGTCACGTGGACTACTCGCGTACTGTTCGTGAAGTGATCTGTATTGTACATAGCCTATCATCCCTCTGTCACAATCACATCATCGGCTACCCTATCTCTTCTCTGAAATTTCAACTTCTTGGAACGGGGGCAAGTCTCGAATAGTTTTGGCGTTACGCGAATCGGAATGGGGTAGTTCTGGTCCTGTTGGCCTTGTTAGTACATTCTCCCAGATGATCAGCGCCTTCAATATCTAGTCTATCTTAAGGTATAATAGAGTATAATTATATATTTATACGATTATATATATTAGGTCGACACCTTTTAAGTAATAATACGTGGAATATATTATAGACTTTTATTTAACTCGGAAGGGACTAGCTATTTTATAATCTAGCTTTTTATTTACCCGTGACGTTTATATATTATAGATATTACTTATTCGCTTACTAGATTATTACGTGATAATTACGTGCGGTCTCGAAGATTTTAATCACTAGTTCCTAAGCGTGGATATTAATATCTATTATTTAATCGAATTAGACCGTATAAGGTTTAAAACCTATCCTTAGACTATTATATATAAATTCTACTATACTTAGTAGGGAGGCCTAGTTATTCTATTTAAAATTATAGAATGCACGAAGGTAGGCCTCGAGCGTCTAGTCTATTACTCTATCTAGCTATCTATTTATAAGTGGAATACTATAGATATATTTCTATTTATACTAGCTATTTGTAGAAAGACGTCTAGAATTTAGACGTAAACATACTTCCTTAATCTATAATAATCCTTTTTAGTATACTATAGACCTTAATAATCTCATTCTAGAATACTTATGCTAGTTCTTTTAATATAATCGTCTTCTACACCGGGATATACCTAGATATCTTTATAAGTCTATCCACGATAATAAGAATTGAATTATGACTTATTCTAAGTATCTCGCTTAGAGGTAAGTTAACTATAAAATCTATAGTAACGTCTTCCTATATAAAGAGGGGGACTAGTAGAGGCTATAATTCCTATATAGCTTATGTCTAGGTACCTTTATTCTTTAATAAATTAGATAAGTAGCCCTCATTATCCGCACATTCCTCACTCAACTCATTACACGTAATTTCACCCACGTAGCTTGATCGATGGGGTTAATTTCTTCTATGTGTTATGCGAATATATTGATATCTTCATACTGGCGATAGACCCAGCGGTGACTGAGGATGAATCGATTATAGTCTCCCTAGATGTCTTTTGTGACTCTGGTCACTTCTCGAATTTCTAAAGTGGCTGACTTTTGTCGACAGAATTCTTTGTCCTCCAGCGCCTGGTCCAAACGGCATTTGAGATCCTCTATGGTTGCCCGAGCAGCCTCTACTTCTTTGGAGGCAGCATCCAATTTTGATGCAAGTTCCTTCTCTCTCGCTTTCCGTCGTTGGCGAAAACGAGCCGAGGCGCCTGCGTTCCGTTTCCGTCTATCATCGGCCTGTTTCGAACCCGACTTAATCTCGACTGGGATTTGATATGCTCGACCATATTTATCTAATCTAGTATAGTGCTCATAGTCACCGCCAAAGGCAAGACCGCTATCAGTCCTATCTTGCAACTGGATGTTAGATGAAGTGCGACTTTTCGTGCGATGATTAGCATCTGGAAACGGAAGGAGGCCGACAGCAGCACCCGCCGATGCGATTGGTGCTTGAAGATGCCCTGGATTTGAGGTAACGACTGGATACGAGAGGTCGTCTTGAAAACTGTAGACTGAGTTGTCGTCAGTTTTTTGTGAAAATGACGATCCACTGGTCTGTGAGTCGAGCTCGGTGCGCCCTAGGCTTTCAGTTCTTTCATAATTTGCCTGGCCAGGAAGAGTTGCCGGTGGATTCGGAACCGGTCGATCTCTCTCGCATTGCGCGTTAGGAAGTTCACGATGTTTGAAACTCGCTAGGATCGTTGTTCGCTCAGATGAAATTGGATGATGGGCAGGTACCGGACTTGCTATGTCCACTTCGCGTCCGCTAGAAATAGTGGAGGATGGTTCGTGAACGAGAATGGCCTTTAAACTCATCAGGTCGCCTGCGAATTTGTTACTTGGTGATCTAACATCTCGCCTAGGCCTTCTTACTCCTTGAGCTTCCGCTATTCCGGATGCTCCTTTCTGCCATACTGATTTCAGAAAATTGCGAGAGCATGTTGGTACGATTAATGCTTGGAAAGTCCGGTATGATGTGCCGAGAGTCTGGAGGTAGGTGGCAGAGTCTTCGCCTCAGAAGACCAGTTACGAAAGACCGATAGCTCCTCTTATAGGCCGAGCCAGGAACCTGCACAACAACCTCAAGACATGGACGCTGGTCATCCCCACGGACACTTGTCCACCCTGGGTAATTATCAGCGGCTCCAGAGCGGATGGATCTAGGTTTTACAAAGCGCAAGGATCATTAAATGGCACACTTAGCCGTGTAGGTCACATTCGCCATTTTCTGAAGGCATGCTGACACGCTGAGATGCATTAATGCCATCTGCAACATTATTCTCATCTGTATTATTATGATATCCAACCCTTTCCAAAAATCATCGCCATAGGTACGGTCGAACATAATGAGGTAGGAAGAAAGTAATCAAATTGGTTTCATCGACAGGTTCTCGCCCAAGACTTCCTGGGACATGGGATCGCAGCGCATGCTTGTATTTATTCGGACCAATCGGATTACAGAGCTCGTCCTCCTTCAGCCGCTCTTGGCAACAATCTGTTGCCAAGAGCAGCTTTACCCTGGGCTAGCGTGTCTGTACTAGTGCAGGATCATATCGCACTACACCATCCATATAAAGGCGAGGCGATTGATCTCGCATGGGTCCCGTCGCACTCAGGCATACAGGGACACGACGAGGCAGACGCAGCAGCAAAGACAACGACGAAGGACTCGAAGGTCGTTTCCGCGCAATGGCAGTGTCATTACTCAAGAAATGTACCGCAGAGGAACTACCGCAACAGGAGTGGAAGTCGGGGAGACATCTAAAACAAATAGACACAGCACTACCCGGAGCACATGTCAAGCTACGATCGTTTCTGAAGAAGATTGCAATCGAAGAGAGTGATCAGTGCGAATGCAGTCAAGGGAGAGAAGACACACGTCACTTTCTATTGCATTGCCGCAGGCATGAACACCTGCGTGGAGACGTGATCAAGGAAGGTCAAGGTAGGTACGGCGACCTGTCATATATGCTTGGCGGGAGATCGCCATATCTGAATCCGGATGGGTCCAGTCCTGACGGACCATTAAAAGATTGGAGTCCCAATCTGGACATGGTTCGCACGGTAATCAAGTATATTTGCTCAGCTAGAAGTGGGGCTACATAGGGCTACCATATATAGCTTTGATAATCCTTTTCGACCCTCATGTTAGTCGGAGGGAGCATGACCGCGCCTCCGAAGCAGCACATGTATGAATACGCAGCGGCAAGACGATCGGTGCAAGAGAACTTTCGCATGGCTGACGGTCGGACAGGACTTCTACGTACTAACAAGCAATATGCGCACAGCAGCACCACTGCTCAGTACTGATTCGAATCGCACCGAAACTTTACACGTCTCGGACCTCGCTTAAATTCAAGCTCAAAGTGTGGTCACGGTGGCGCTGTGGATATGCCGGTCACAGCGCAAGCCATGTAGCTCAATGCATGAGCCGCACGAGAAACGTCGATGCAAGTCTGTACGAAGATCTCAAGATGTACACCCCGTGCCAACTCAACCCACACCAAGGCTGTATGAAGCTGGCAATCGGTCCACCAAGTAGAAAACCAACACACGGGTCGTGCGCATTACATATATGACATACCACCCAATCTCAGCATTGTCTTGTATCTGGGAGGCAAAGCTATGACCAACGAGGTCGCGGAGAGATGCAGCTTTTCTCGCTTGTTCATAATACTTGATCGAGCTGTCAGGGTGTTGTGGATCCGCGGTCTATTGATCGACTGGCGTTCATATTCGGGTGGAAGTGAGACATTGTCGGCATCCCGTCTT